TGGGAAATCGTGTTCAGAAACCACATTATTGACTCCAAAGTTACTAACGCCTGCCCAAGGGCCGGGTCAGCAGAAGTTTGGGGAAGTGCAGGGCCGCTTGCGAGTATGGAATCAGGCTAAGAGAGCCATCTTCAGCCATTTCTCCCAAGGCTGGGGCTGGAATCAGTGACAGTCCATGGACTAGTGTTCCGGTGCTCCTCCACACCCCCGTAGCCTTGACTTAGGTTTGGTCAGTATTTTCAGTTTACTGTGGAGTCTCCTTCAGGTGACACTGCTCAGGCCTTGTAGATGTCGTTTTTACAGTTAATTCTCAAAGGGCAGTCGTTTCTCACGTTGGGGGGTGGTGGTTGTAGCGAGCCAGTTCTAGCCTTGGGTATCATGGATGGGGACTGGAGAAGTGGGGAGAGGTGAGACTAGTTTTCAAGGAAGATGAAGAAAGTTCTCTAGACAGTTGAGTCTGAGGTGACATCTAAGATCTGGCTAAAGGATGTTGTAAGGAAGGTGGGCACTTTGGATGGATGGGTGGAGATTTAGGAAGAGGAAGGGAGATTCAAGAGTAGAAGCTCCGAGTCGAATCTTAGGAGAAAGTACATATTCAGGGAGTCTGAGGTGAGAGGAGAGCCAGCAAAGCAGAAGAAATGCTGGTACGGGGTACCATGGAAAACAAGGAGAGGAGACCTCAAGGTGGGGTGAGGGTGAAATCTGCAGTGGCCACAGCTATGGGCAGATCTAGGGAGCAAAAGCAACTCTTTGCCTTTGGCAAGGCTGAAATAAGAGGTGCTGAGCATTTTCGATTGTGAGTCCAGAGCCCATCGTGCCCAGGTTCAAGTCCTAACTCAACCACTTACAGTTACTTTGTTTGTTCCTTTCTCATCTGTGAAATGAGTTAATAACAGCACCCAGTTAATGAGAAGCTGATAACAACTAGCTAACAAGTCTCAGGTATGGCTGTAAGCCTTTGTCATATTTGTAGTCACTGAAGCCTCACAACCGCCTTCCAGCCTTCTACAAAGGAGCAAACTAAGGTTCATAGAAGTTACTTGCTCAGGGTAACACAGGTTTTAAAAGCGTTGAACTTGCATTACTTCAGTAGATTAACAGTAATTCAAATTATGAGGTATTTAGGGGTGTTGGAAATGGCCATGTATTTTGAGCTACTTTTCCATGAAGTTTTTTCTATGGTAAGTAGTCATTTATTATTTGGTTTTCAAAGGCAGACGTGATTCTCTAAGGTTTGCTTCCAGATAGTGGTAGCCATGTGTTTTAATTGTTTTGTTTCTGGATCAAAAACTAGACATTAACGGCCATAAATTATTATAGTTTTGGCTCTGTATCTATAAGCGTATTAGAAAATGACCTAGATAAATAAATTACTGCTTTAATGTATTTCATTAATCATAATTTTAATCATTTATGTTTATCCTTGGGGAAAATCTTAGTAATGCTATTTTTCATGCAAATATTTTCTAATTAAGGTACATCAGGACTTCAGAAAACAGCTAATAAGTGAGGTGTGATTTGAATCTTTACGTGAGAAAAGTTAGGTTTAGGTTGTTAATCAATAATCTTCATACTTTTTAAGTCTTTCACTTCATTAGTTGCTCATGCACAAAATAATTCTTTTGTTTTCAAAGCTTTTGGAAAGAAGAAACATGGAAAGTGGTGCAGTTCTGCTGGAATCTAAATCCTCACCAGTTAACCTTTTGCATGAAATGCATCAGCTACGCCTTCTGGGTCACTTGTGTGATGTGACTGTCAGTGTGGAATACCAGGGTGTTCGTGAAGAATTTATGGCCCATAAGGCAGTGCTGGCAGCCACCAGCAAGTTTTTTAAGGAAATGTTCCTTAATGAGAAGACTATGGATGGTACTAGGACTAATGTCTACTTAAATGAAGTGCAAGTTGTTGACTTTGCTTCATTTCTTGAGTTTGTCTATACTGCAAAGGTACAGGTGGAAGAAGATCGGGTACAGCGAATGCTGGAAATGGCTGAAAAGCTAAAATGTTTGGACTTATCGGAAACTTGTTTTCAATTAAAGAAACAGATGTTAGAGTCAGTACTTTTGGAGTTGCAAAATTTCTCTGAGTCTCAGGAGGCAGAAGGGAGCAATGATTCTCCAGTAGGTGTTGCTTATGATGCTAGGGCAAGTACAGCTGTGGATAGTCCTCTCACCAACGGCCTTAGGGGCTCCTCAGAGCCCCCAGTACGGAGAATCAGCAATGGCACATTGCCAAGTATGCCCCCAAGGAAGTCCAAGGAGAAATCAGATAAAAAGAAAGATGTAGTTAAGGCTCCCTACCCTAAAATCAGAAGAGCTAGTGGAAGGCTGGCTGGCAGAAAGGTATTTGTGGAAATTCCTAAAAAGAAATACACAAGAAGACTCCGAGAGCAGCAGAAAAGTGCTGAGGATGATGCGGGAGACTACAGGTGTCTCCAGGATCCCAGCCGGGACACTGTGGGAACAGAGATGGAGCCAGTGACAAAAAATGAGGATTGCAGTGCTGAGGTGGAGGTGGAGGAGGTGCTGCAGAAGTCAGGGCTGGGAGAGGACGAGGATGAAGAGGACGAGGAAGGGGAGAAGAGAAAGAGCAACTTTAAGTGCACTACCTGTGAAAAGGCCTTTCTGTACGAGAAGAGCTTCCTAAAGCACATCAGGCACCACCACGGAGTGGCCACTGAGGTGGTTCACCGCTGTGACACCTGTGGACAGACCTTCGCCAACCGTTGCAACTTGAAGAGCCACCAGCGCCACGTGCACAGCAGCGAGCGCCACTTCCCATGTGAGCTTTGTGGGAAGAAATTCAAGAGGAAGAAGGATGTCAAGCGGCATGTGGTACAGGTCCATGAAGGGGGTGGTGAGCGGCACCAGTGCCAGCAGTGCGGCAAGGGCCTGAGCTCCAAGACAGCCCTGCGGCTCCACGAGCGGACACACACAGGCCATAAGCCCTACGGCTGCACCGAGTGTGAAGCCAAGTTCTCACAGCCTTCGGCACTGAAGACCCACATGAGGTATGTGCACTTGTCTCCAGCTTACTGGTGTGGGAAACAGCAGAGACCCTCTGAAAATATTTTTTCAAGGATGTAGCTTATTAATTTTCTTGAAATGCATATCAGAAATTGAGGTAGTTCTAGGATTTGGACTAGTGTAGCTACCTCTCTAGAGATTTCACTTCATAACTTGTTCTAAAAGTTGGGGAGCTATTTTGAGACATCTTGAATTCTTTCTGGGTAGAGATGCTATGAGATGGTTTTATTCTACACTACACAAATCCTTTAGTGTTCCTACAGGCCTCAGTCCAATGAGGACCTCCCAGCTCCTGCTGTCCACAGTTGCAGCACGGAAGCCTGGATACAGAACCAGGGCGGCAGAGGGCTGCTGAACATGCCAGGCCCCGCAGGTCTCATCTGAGGTGTACTGCAGGTCAGGTCTCTCTCCTACTTCCAGAGCAGCTTTTGGGCATACACTTCCTGCCACACCTGAAGCTTATTACCTTTATTTTTCCTTTCCTGACTTTGTTTAGAACTTGGGCCTGTTACCATCTAAGTCCCACAGTCTCATTAAAGACCTCAGTGAGATGTCATTTAGGGCTTTAGGACACTTCTCTGGTCATCTTTTCATTTTCTGGGCTTGGAAATTGTGCCATTGGTTAGTCTGTACTCTAGCATTAGCATGGACAGTGTTTTCTGTAGATGAGTGACATTGTTTTTAAATGTTTCCTTACGGTGCTCAGTATTTATACTTCAAATCCAGACAAGCAGTTTTCTACCATATTCTACATCTGCACTCAAACTTGGACCAGTCTTTGGGGTGGTAGCATGATATTCATCTTTTTACCCTATATAACAAGTTTGAAAACTTGGCTTAGAAAGTGCTCAGTAAATCACTGTTGGCATCTACTTCATACTAGTTGTGAAATTAAAATGCTTATGCCTTTTATGCATTTTCAGAAACCAGGTTTCTTCAGCATTTTGAGAGCAGTTCTTTCTAGACTGGTTATGTCATACATATTAGGAAATGATAGTAAAATTTTTCATGTGGCTCTTAATCAATAATAGTTCCTAAGGTGTTTTGTGGTTGATTAGTCTGAATAAGGAAACTTTACAGATATTACACAGTGCTGTTTAGTGTTTTAAAAAATATGTAAGTGTGGTCTCTGGCTACACAGGCCATACAGCATAAACCCTGTGGCAAGTGTGGGTGGACATTGAGTCTTAATGGGGAAATGTATTAGTCTTTTGGCCTTGTGCAGACACAGATTTGAGGATGGAGATTATGGACCTCTTCACCTCCAGTCATTCTCATTAAGTCTCATGGAATAAATTATCTTTGTAGCCTAGAGTGGAAATTGTATTGCAAAGCGAGGTTTGAAATACATCCTAAGTTATCATCTGAATGTTGTACTTTCAGAATTCATACAGGGGAAAAACCTTTTGTCTGTGATGAATGTGGTGCAAGATTCACTCAGAACCACATGCTGATTTATCATAAAAGGTGTCACACAGGTAAATACTCCTGCTGTTGTGATTCAATGTCTTTCCTAGCTGTGAAAGGAAACTGCAATTTATTAGTTTAGAAGTTGATATCTACCAAAGTGGTGCAGGTTAAGCCATGATTTACCTTTCCCATGTAGAAGGTGAGCAGAAATGAATAAAATCTTCCCACTGCTTCTAGTACCGATGTGCTTGGGGTGATAGCCTCTTACACGCTAGAGAGTAGGAACTGGCATGTGGGCCTTATGTATGAAAAGGTATGAAACAGTTCCTATTGTTTTATCCCCAAATTCCATTTTCAGGAATCTGTCCTAAAGAAATTATTCAGAATATGGGAAAAGCTATGTGCTATTTTCCTTCTTCTTGCTATTTCTAACAACCCACAAGAAAACCTGATTGTCTAACAATAGTCATTCGGTAAACACCCTCTCTTGGCTTACTCCCTGGCCATTTGGGATGAGGGCTCTTGAACGTTATGAGAAACACCTGTTCTTGGATGTTGACTTGAAAATGCACAATTAAACTTACAGATAATCCCAACTATACTGAACACCTGCACAGAAGACTAGAAAATAAATTGTCATATGATGTATTAAGGTGGTAGAATTATCTCATTTCTGTTTTCCAAAATTGTTGTGATATTATATGAGAAAGAAAATTTAAGTTAGCTTTATTCTGATACAACAGTGACAGAAAACCCTGTTATTTATGACAGGTATACAGAATTTGTATACTGTAGTTATGCTAAGCCAGTTCCTTCTTATTTGCTTGTACTTTTAAATTTTTGCTTCTAAGTACAGTCATATGATCCTCAAGTTCACATTTAATGATGTGAATTACTAGACTGTAAAATGAACAGAATTGGTGTCTAATGGATGCTAGGGGGTTTAAGTGAAATCAGGTCACACTAAAGGAGTAAGTTAGAATCAGTCATTTGATGAAATATTAATCTATTCAGATTTTGTTAAAGCTAGTATTTTAATTTTGGTATTTGTGAAATCAGAGGTACAGCTAATAATCAGATGAGTCTTGATTTGTGAAATTAAAAGGTTCAAACTACACAATGTGATGGTGTTATTTAAAGATTTTTTTCTTGTCCTGTAATCCAATCCAAATTGCGGGAGCTGCCACTTTAGAATAGTTATGCACATATAGCCAATGTAAACTCCTTTCAAAAGGGACTTTTTTCCTGCTAAAGATCCACAGAGTGCTTCTTAGAAAGAAAAAAATAACAATTTCTCCAAACAAGTTGTACAATTACTTTGTTTGGAATGACAGGAATTTCCAAAATGTGAACTGGCTGAATGATCTCTTTATTCTAGTCTAGCAGAACCTTTCTTGGGATTTCCAAGCATATTTAACACCAACTTTCAGCAAGTAGCAAGCATCTTACATGAATAGATGTTTTATGATAGTTAACTAGAAAATGTAATATGCTACTCGCCAAGGTGCTTTTGAGTTCGTATGGATGAGTTTTAGAGTGTGGACCCACTCTTTGTGTGTTCTAGTGCCTGTATCATTTCTAACTTTTTGTTTCATCTTTTTATGTAGGTGAAAGACCTTTTATGTGTGAAACATGTGGCAAGAGTTTTGCTTCTAAGGAGTATTTAAAACATCACAATAGAATCCATACTGGATCCAAACCCTTTAAATGTGAAGTTTGTTTTAGGACTTTTGCCCAGCGGAATTCACTTTACCAGCATATTAAAGTCCATACAGGTATGGCTGGCATGTTACCAGAGAAAGGAGTTCAGTGTGGCAAGAAAAATATCCCAAAGGTTTTTGACTTATTAGAAAATTTGGATTTTAGCTTTAAGAAAAACCGTTAGCCAAACTTTGTATGTCTTAATAGCATTAAAAAAAATTTTGAGTTTCTAGTTTCTGGCTCTGAGAAACTTTCTAAATAGGTATGGATGTGTGAACATTTTATCATTTTCAGATTAGCATTAGGGATTATCTATACATATTAATATATATACACATTGATGCAAATTCAGTTGTACTTGGAATTTTATATTCCATTACTGTGGAAAATAGGTGAAATTTCTGTAGATATAATGCCAGCTGCAGGTATAGATTTTGGCCTTTTTTTCTGGTGTAAGCCATAAGCTCTTGGTATTAATGTATTCCTGCTTTCCAAAAATTCATGTTAAGCCAGTTCACTTTTACGAGATACCTACATGAGTACCTGTCTTCACTACCTGAAAAAAGCATAACATGAACTTTCAGAAAGTAGTGGGGACACTCTTCACTTCATGCCATTTTGGCTTATAAAGGGTTTCATGGGAACACTTAGATCAGGAAAACCTGTATAGAGGTAGTAGATTTGTACCTATCAGTTGACCCTTGACTCATTCCCAGCAAAAACCTCCTTATGGTGACACTTTCCAGTGGTTTACAAATAGCATCATTCCAGACTGTATTCGGAATTAAATACAGCAGGCTAAAGAGATCAACCAGTTTTCTTCTCTTGTCTCAGGAGAACGCCCCTATTGTTGTGACCAGTGTGGCAAGCAGTTCACCCAGCTGAACGCTCTCCAGCGCCACCATCGGATCCACACGGGAGAGAAGCCGTTCATGTGTAATGCGTGTGGACGGACATTTACTGACAAGTCCACTCTCCGGCGGCATACCTCAGTAAGCAACAGTATGGCTTAAGAATGACAAATTGCTGGTCCCTACGTATGCATAACCCTAGACAGTCAGAAATGCCTGTCATTCCATAAGGTGGTTATAGAAGACAAATAACAGGTATTTCTTTGGGTTTTCTATGCAGTGAGCACATTCAGTGTGAAGGAAGTGGAGAACCAATCTCTGATAAACATTCATAGCAACAGTGGTAATAGATGCTTGACAATTAGTGAAAGGAGTTGCTACAGTAGAAACTTAAGTTGAAGAGAGACTATTGTTTTAAAAGATGTACTTATTAATAAGTAGCAAAAATTGGAAAATTTACAGATATTTGTTCAAAGACACATTCAGTTACTTTTGTTTTGTGTTTGATTTGTAGATACATGATAAGAATACTCCATGGAAGTCTTTCCTTGTTATTGTAGATGGCTCACCCAAGAATGATGAAGGACACAAGACTGAACAGCCTGATGAAGAATATGCACCATCTAAACTTTCAGAAAAATTGCTGTCTTTTGCAGAAAATGGCCATTTTCACAACCTGGCCACAGTCCAAGGCAGCGTACCTACTGTTCATGAGAACAGTTCTGCAGACACAGCCTGCAAGTCAGATAATTCTATAGTGTCCCAGGATGCTTTGCTGGCTACCACCATCAGTGAGCTTAGCGAGCTGACTCCACAGACAGACTCGATGCCCACACAACTTCATTCTTTGGCCAGCATGGAATAAGAGCTTCAAGTCATTTGCCAAGCAGGTCCCATCCTGTGTCTTTTGTTAGCTGTATGCAAGATAATGCAAGCAAAGAGGTGGGCAAGAATGGCTTCTGCAGATTTTTCTAAATTTCTGATAACTTGCACGTTTTTATCAAAAGCATTTTTAAAGCTTTCCCTTAAAACTCCTGATCTGCATGACCTTAGCTACACTTTATCAACAAAACAAGGCAATTAACATAACCTCACTTAATTCTGGTATAGGCTGCCTTATGCATTAATCATTCTAATGCTTGATTATCTTGATGTTTATGAAGTTTGGACAACTGTTTACTTTGATAGTAGAGTATACAGCATTGATCCAGCTTGTGAAATTGCTGTCAATGGTCTCCCAGGTCTTTTAGCTTGCCTTATACTTCCATGTGGGTTTATTTCTCTGGTACCTTTAAGGTATTTTTCTGCTGAGCTGAAATAAAACTGGGGCCGTGTATTTTCAGCTGTTTCTTCCCTGTCAATTGAAGCAAATCAGATTTGCTCCAGGGACCCTTGAATGGGACTGAAGAAATGAATTACTGCATCACCCTCCACTGCCCCACCCCCCAACTAAAAAAACATTGACAAACACTTGCATAATAGCTTAGTATAACATCTACTCACAAGCACATATGCAGCTATGAAATTTGTCATAAAATAGCTTTCTAAATGAAATGTGGCTGTTTAGTTTTCATTCCTAAAAATCTGATAAGGTAAAAGCTGTCCTACCAAAGATTTTAGCAGCAAACAGTACAGTATTTTTTTGCAAAAGTGTGAAAAATTAAGCAAGAGGCTTAAGAACACTTCAAACATTGTGTAGTCATTCACAAGTAGCAATGAGGTGATCGTGACATATCTTAGAGCACAGTATTAGTATTTTTGCCTGGTTTTTCTAACTTAATTTCTGTAACTTAGAAACCCAAACTTTCTCATTTTTACATCAAGAGCTAGAAACAGGTAATTGCTGCATATTTGTTTTCTTGGGAGCATTTGAGAATATGGAAGGGACCAAAAACCTTGGCACACTCATTGTTGATTATGCCTTAAAAGTAGATTGTGAAGAACCAGTAACTTTTGTCTTAAATGCACCTTTGGCTGTCTCATGCTGGAAATAGTACTCAGAATGAATTTGCAATGAATGAAAAGATAATTCTGCTGTATTTGCTAAGCCTGATTCTTGGTTTCAGTGGCTTTTGTATGTTGTGTGCTTATGGAATGCTTTGACTCACATGTAACCCTTAACATATTAATTTAAAAAGAACCTTGAAGAATTATTTTGTTCACCAGTTTTTCCTACATCTTAATTTATTGAACTTACTGTGAACACTTTCATTTTCTAAGAAAAAGGTACTTTATCCGTAAGTTCCAAGATGAAGACATAGCTACATTATATCAGAAACTAAAGAGGGAAAGACTTTCTTTGTAAGTGCTTATTTTAGTTTTTAACATGTTACATACTAAAGCCACTATAAGATGTTTTAGGTGCTGTTAACATGTTTCACACCTGCTCTTGAAGACAGCAATATTGAACTACTTCAAATTCAGTTAAAACATATCCTAGTTGTGTTTACAGGACAAAAAAAAAATAGTGACTGTCACACACCATTTTATTCTTGGTTAGAGAATGAACTTGACAGCTGATTTACTGTGTCATGGAGTAAAGTCATCTTAATGAGAAGGAATTTAAATAGATTATTTTGTTACTGGAAGAATTTTTGTCTTGAATTTGTTTCTTTAGAAATTCTACAAAAAATCGTTTAATCTGTTAATAAATGTTTGCTTTGTAAAAGTTTTACAAGTCTAAGTTTATTTCTATTAAAATTTACATTGAAACAAGTATAATTTCCTTAATTTCATGGATAATGAAGTTTAAAATCAAGGTCTACAGTGCTAGGATTATTCTATTTTGATATAACTGTATGGAATGCACATGTATTCTTCAGAAGTGTGAAAGGCCTGGTGATACGAAAGGGACCTCTGCTTATGTAGAAGTAACCTGTGTAGCTGGTGCTGTGGAGTAAGTGGACTGGTTTCTTCAATGTCATGTTAAAATTTGCATCACACAGACTTCTCTAATATATCTATTTCTCTACTTCCTGAGAAGTAAGGCTGTCCCTGAGAACAGAAATTTGAAAACCCTATAGAAGGGTTTTGTGGGATATCTCCCCCTATCTCAATCCCAGTACTCCCAGAGTGAAATCAAGGCTACCCTCTCACTATGACAGTCCTAAATCCATGATTAGAAGTACCGTTTGTTGCTGGCACTGCTTCTTCTAGAGTATCAACAAAGGTGATTGAGGAGGTAATTTAGTGCCTTCCAATCATTTTGTGGGAAATAGTCTCAACCTGAACACCAAGGAGCGCTGTCTTTGGTTTTACTAAAACCTTTGTTTCATAGTTTGAAGAAAAAAAAAAAAAAGGCCATGTGGTGTGGAAAGACTAATAAAAGTGATTTTAACAGAAATGGGGTTTTGCTATAGATGATAATCCAAACCAACAAATTTGAGTATGAGTTATAACTTAATTCTAACCTATTAAATTTTATACCTTGTCAGTGTCACACAGGGATTTTTTGAGACCAAATGAGTACTTGTCCCTTTAAACCTGACAGTGTGAAATCTGAAGTGAATATTATTTCAGTGGGGGTGAGAATACTCATGTGAAGGGCCATTTGTTCATATGTACCTAGAATGAGGGCAGATGTGACTAAGGCTACAAATACGGGTCAGAGGGCCACCTAGCACGTCACTCAGGCCAAGCCCCAGAAACCACCCACTTACCTTTGCCAATCTGTACAGGGACTCTTAACCAAGGCTGGCAAAACCAAGTTTTTAAGACACCATAGTGGCTTCTTTCTGTTAGGAAATGATCATTCTGAGGTAATTAACCTTGAATGATCAAGAACTTTCCAGAATTCCTAGGTTGGGATGGCCTGTTCTACTGTTCATTTTTCAAAATTTTGCTTTGAGTTATCTTTAAGTTGTGAATGTGCTCACAGACCTGAACACTGTTCTCTGACAGGATGAGCCAGCCTGCACTACCATACATGACACCTTCTTCCTCCATAGAACTTGTAGCCTCAGTGGGCATTGGGCTTGACCCTCACCAGGGGCACATGCCAACCCTGTACAGACATCTGCAAAGTTAAATGCTCACACTGCCAAGAGAGTTGAGTGGCTTCAGGGTTTCTCACCCTACCCCACCCACCAAATACCTAACAGTCTTCTCGGAACCAATCTTTCCTCAACTTTGCAAGTGACTGTAGCCTAAAGGATGCAAGCAACATTCCTTAACAAGGCAGAAGGAAGTGATGAAAATGTGAGGCTTGCAGAATCATGGTGCAAACTTAGTGGACTGCATCAACAGAGTATAACCAGGGTTCTTTCATAAACCCTCAGCTTGCAAAACCATTATAGTGCCCTGAATTTCCACCAAGTAATAGTGATTTTAACAGTCAAACTCATGCTTGGATGGATGTTCAAAGAGCCTAGAGAATATTAATGCCCATTGCCTTAATAGGAACAACTTCAAGAAAAGGAAGCTACTCTTGATCTGTGTAAATTTAGCTGGGAAGACCCATCAAAATATTACTCATAATTTCCACTTTATTTACTGAACAGGCTCACATAAAACATACTCTTTTCTGCTAAGGTAGATTTATCATCACATGGTTAGTTTTCATAATACAATCCTCTGCCTGAGAGCGTTAGAAAGGAGAACACCATAGTGACTGACTCAGAACTTCACAGGCAGGAACCTGTGCACGCATCATAGGTGGTGGGTAACATGCTGTTGTGCCAAACCCTCCAAAGCCATAAAGGTTTGCATTTGGATATTCTAAATACACAGTATCAGAGGAAACAATAAATGCACACACTTTGGTTACAGTGACACCATCACACATGATCATGACTGCAAAAATACCATTTTCAAATAAAAAAGGAACTCACACAAGCTATAAAAATGTTGCCACAAAAAGCAAAGCTTTCCTGTAAGAAATTTTAACTGACTTTGACTATGAACTAACCCCAGATTTGTTAAAATACAATAATTAACATAAACAGTCACTAAATTTTGTTCATAAATAACATTCTATAAATCCTGAGAACCTAGCTTAGCCTTCCGAGTCATGGTTCTACCCTATGTTTGCTGATGGGACATTTCAAGGAAGTAAGTTTGGATCCTGCTAATGGAACATTTTCCCTCTCATTTTCTTTTTATATTCTAGTAGATCTGTTCTAGCCATTACAGTTATTTTTACTCTTTTGTGTGAAATAATAACATTCTTAACACAGTGTTATTTCAATATAAACAAGTAAGTCTCTGATGGACATAAAATATTGTCAATACTATTTTTAAAAATCATAACTCTTTTTCAGACAGGGGTTTCTTAGGGGATAATGAGAAAAGCTAAACGGAATTGCCTTAAAAGAAATCATTTGGTTTTTATGTGGTCAGACCAACAGATTCTTTTAACCAGAAGAAACAAACTTTCTAGCCTAGTGATGAAAGAAGCATGCAGACTGGCTAGGATTTAAATGCTCTCCAGAAGGGACAGACTTATGGCTAGAGGACACTGGCTACAAAATCACTTCCTATGCCTCACTTTCACAAAAGTGCATTTGGGAAAAACTTTTCATGAAAGTGCATTTGGCTGGTTGTGGAATAGATTAGGTAAAGCAACAAAAACCCACTTTTCTTTCTGTAATATTTGCATAAGAGACTCCAACAGGAAATAAAAGTATCAAATGGGCTCCATCCCAAATTGTACTGTAAGTGATAGCCAGCTTTCTTTTAAGAACCTCTGACCTTTTAAAGAAGAAAGAAATTCTCATCAGATTCCAAGGCCCAACACTAGAGTGTCCATGTCTTCTGGTCCATTCCTTCTACCCTCAACCAACACTGTGACACCACTAACCTTCCTCTCCATCAGTCCACTTTCCACACATTACGCCAAACTACAGCCAGGGAATCCTCATAGCCACAATGAGAAAGCACAATGAGGCCTCAGCTGGCCTTTTTCAGCTTCCTTTCTTGCTACTTTCTCAGACTGACCTAGTCACCATCCCCAAACCTTCCTCCTTGCTGAGCCCTTGGTCTGGGCATGCACACTCTACTTCTGCCCAACCAAAGTCACCGAACCCAGGTGAAGGGCATCCAAAAATGAAAACACCTTTTCAATTTAAGTTACTATCATACATAACATGGGAAAATTCATCACTTGTCATTAATGACAGCAGCACAATTTAGAATGAAACACAAGCTATGTCTGGCAACAAATGCAAATCAAACATAAATCATTTAAGCCTAAAAATATGCATACAGGAGATTCAAGAAATAAGACCATGTCTAAAGTACAATGTCAGCATATAATATAATGGATAAAGGTCAAGTTCATAAATCAATAGAGCACATGTTATGTAAACCAAAATAAAAGAATAGAATTCAAACACACAAGCTAAAACAATTCCATCAGCTAAGAGGAAAGGCCCCTCTCTCGGAAGCTAGTTGGAACTCTTTGCTAGTCGGAGGCATACAGTAAAAACCTCTACCATATTTACCCTACCTGACCCATTATGTTCAATAAATAATTTAGATCTTTCAGCCCTGAAGAGGATTTACATGACTGGAGCATAGAGGGTACCATCTCAATGTGGGAAGGTGCATAAACATGAAAGTAAAAAAAAGGGATGTACCAGTTAAAACTGTGAATATAAAGAAAGGAATTTTCACCCCAACTAAAAGTGAAAACTATGTCCAAGAAAAAAAAATCCGTTTCTTATAGATCTTATATGTGTAAGTAAGTACAAAGCAGTCAAACCCACTTTTACGTTCATCTATATACATAAGCAAGCACTGCCAGGAAGCTCCCTTTTTTCACAATGAAGTTTTCACATGCGTGTTAGCATACGGAACAATATCAAAAGCAAAAAAAAAACTGGTCACCAGAACCATCAAAAGAATCACAAGATAACAAAAATTTTTCAATAAGGAAAGTCATAAACTCATTCCTAATGATACCACCCTAAACTAAACACATATATTTAGAGAATACTTTCAGATACATATTTCCAGAGAATATGCAAAACACTGATTAGAACAATTAGGATGGGTATTCAAATCTAAGAAAAAGAACATAAAAATATGTGGCAAAATTAAACATGGGCTCTGCAAATATCAAATAAATGGAATAAAACTCTGAAGTAGTTTTCAAAAAACTCTGGGGACTCTGACAAGCATGAAAATTGCCCGTCACATCCAAAATATGCACAGGAGCTTCTCATCCACCTGCTTAACAGTGACACAAACACAGCAAGCCTAAACAACACACACATCATTTTGCTCATGTGCAACAAAATTAAGCCATTAAATAGGCATCCCATAAAGATCACTTGGCCTTAAGACAAAACTAAAGAGGAATTAGCTGCATGCCACAAAGACTTATAAATGTTTCATTTTAGGTCTCCGTCTCCCTCTCCATCCCCTTGGATGGACTTTTTGATACGCAGCAACATGGTAGTAAGCCACTGATCCAGGCGAGATATTGAGTCAAATTCCTTCACCTAGTTTAAGGGAAGAGGTAGAGGAATTAGTCCATGTAAAGACAATTGAAACATAAAACAATGGTACCCCAAGTTGTTTAAATATATACAGTGACAATCCATCAACTTTCTTAATTTAAAACTATTCATTCCAGTTCATAACTTTCTTCATTAAAAATTTTCATTTTTCATTATCCTGTACCTATTTTGATGGAGCTATTGACAAGTCTCTATGCCTTTTATATTGCTCTGTATGTTCATGTGACGACAAAAACTCCTAATAACTTTATAATTGGAAGAAGACCACAGTTAATGTGGCAAAGGAAAGTAAGCCTTGTATAAAAATTAGAAGGGAACATGAAAAATTAATACTATTCCAATATTCATTGAACATGAAAAAAGTAGTTGCAGAGGCAGGGTGTGTGGAAGCAGAATTCCTTTAACTCATTCTAACATATTACCAAAGAACGACATTTCGTTAGGATGAAAATGGGTTTTGTAGCAAAAGTGAAACAGGAAAACATTCCATACCACTATTGCTTCAAAGCCATGATGAATATATTAACAGAGGATACTGAGAAATTTGCTTGATTCTAAGCATAAGATGGGAAAACAGAAGAATGATGAATATAAAGAAAAAAATCTTCCACTGCTTTGTTTTTATATTTTAAATTGCATTTAACTGATTTCACTTTACACTTATATACGAAGCAGATTATTTTCAAAAGAAAACATTCAAATAACAAATTGTAACAGTATGTGATTTTCTCTCTTGAATTTGCCTGACAGCTAAATTCACCATGGCTGATAGAACTGTCTAATTGTATAGGTTTGTAAGATATATAAAACATGACCTTTGGAAAATATAACTTTGATATACTGGAAGAATGTTCAAATAAATGTTCAGCATTTCCACAATGAAAAGAAAAATAAGTTCCTGTAATGTAAGCCTTCAACGAATATACTACATCACAAAGACATAACTTACTGCTTCAGTGTAAGCTTCACTGTTCTGTTCTTCATGAGCTTCTAGAAGTTTCTAGTAACATAAAAAAATTAGTCTGGTAGGCTAAAAAGTTCCATCTATGAATAAAGACACTTTAAATACAGAAATATCCTTAGTATCAAATTAACTGATATTGCTAAATACTTTACAAAATTGGAGAAATATTCAAATACAAGTAAAAAATTATCCCGTCATGGATCCAGTTTTGTACTAACATTTCTGAATTGCCTGCTTCAGAACTCAATACTATGCTCTGACTCTTAGTGGCATTTGAGGCCTATTACACAAAAGCAGGAAAGTACTAAAGTTCTTCAGTAGACCTCAAAGAATTAAAACTTCACTTTATATCTAATCCTACCTGACAACAAAGGCTTTTATCTTCAAATTTCTAATATTACTTACTTTCAATAATTTACATTCTCTTGAATCAGTAAATGCTGGAAACATTTCCTCATATTTCTCAAGAGCAAGCTGAAAGAGAAAAAAACACTTGTTAATGTCTGACTCATTAAACCAGGAAACAAAATGTCAAACATTCTATTAAGTTCAGTAAGATTCATCTATAAAATATGTCATTAAATGGAACATCAAAATCAACACAGGAATCTTATTTATTTTGATTTTCAATTTCAGTTAAGAATAAATCTCTAAAATAATTTTTCTTAATTAGATTGCTGTAGAGAAGACATCATGAACCAAATCAAATTCTTAAAAATTCAAAGACCAGGTATCTGTTTTCATCCATTAAATATATTCCTTAACACTGTCCAGATTCCGGTTAGACCATTGCTCAAGGATGGAGGGAAGAATGCTCTTCCTCTTAGTGGCTTTAATTATGCTCTTCCAACTCCAGACATTGACATCAACAAGGCAACCCAAGTATCTGTCTCTTGTCTTACCACTTTCACTTCACTCTTCACTTTCTCCCCGATCCTCTTTCCAATTCCATTTGAGTTTTTTTAAAAAGGGAAGCTATTCTACTTTTACTGTCCCCACTCTTGGCCCCCTAATTTAAGGCAAAACTACTTCAGGAAACATGGCTACCAGGGAACTTTAAGAGAACAGCTTTGGCAGTTGTTACACAATTATAGCTAGCTGGAACACACATCATAGTATTATTATTTTCAATGTACTCAGTTTAGTCTTGCTATTAAAGTATATCACCCAAACGAAGTGACAGCAAGAACGACAGGGTGCCTGAGTGAGGCCTGCTCTCATGGGTAATATATATCAGAAAATTAGTGCTGAAGGACTCCTTACCTTGGCATTTAACTCATCGACTATGAAGTGACAGAGAGCTGCTTTAAAGAAGTAATCCTTTGCGCTGTACTTCAACAGAGGATTATCCATGGTGTTTGCCCCAACCTAAGCACAGAAAATGAATCAGGTTTAAAAGGTTTGCCTTTTTATATTAGGCAACCTAGTTCTTTTTCTTTCCTACCTCCCTGACTTGGAATACAAAAAGCCAGCAACCTATAGAAGCTAGTGGATGCAGCAAATCAAAAAAAATCAAAATACAAAAGCTGGCTGTCTCTAGCCAAAGGACTAGCAGAAGGGCAGCCTAGCAAGACAGAAAATGTTCAAGTAATAACTGTTCTACTCTAGCCAAACACCACTGGAAAACTGTGGCCCTACCCTGACTCAGATCATCAAAGGCCAAAGAGGAAACCAAGACATCCATTCTCTCAAGTATGCAAAGAGGAACTCAACATTTCTGCCAAGGTGGCTTGCTTCAGAGAAGGCCAAGGAGGGGGCTAAGCCTTCATCTCTGCCAGTTAGTAATGGACCCACCCTCTACCCCTGCCACTGAGGCAGTGGAGACCACAGGGGTTCCACCTCTTTGAAGCAGGAACCAGTTCTCATCTCCCAGCAGGTATGGTTTCAGAAGAGGCCTAGTGGGGGATTTAGACTTTCACCATCATCTGGTGGTAACAAGGACAACTCTGGCACAGCATTGGTGGAGAGCGAGCAGGAGCTGGAATGGAATAAAGGCCTCCCCACAGACATCAATGAAGGCCAAGTGGGGAGTCTGAACTTCTACCTCCACCTGGAATTAATGAGGCAACATACCCTTTACTCGGCCAGAGCACTGTCACAAAATTAGATGACAGAGAAGGTTTAAGTAAGATCCAATGTCATAACGTAATGTGAAAATGTTCAACATTCAATCGAAACTTACTTGCCATACCCAAAATGGGGAAGATCTCAAGCTAAATGAAAAAAGACAACTAACAGATGGCAGCTCTGAGATGGTAGAAATGTTAGAATTATCTAACAAAGATTTTGAAGGAGCCCTCATAAAAATGCTTCAATTAGCAATATAAAAACACTTGAAAGTAAAAAACTGAAATTATCAACAAAGAAAAAGGAATTCACAGCAAAAAATCCCAGAAGACATAAAAAAGAGCCAAATGAAAATTTAAGAACTGAAATATACAAAAATCCACATAAAAAGTGGATGGACTCAACAACAGAATGGATGGATGGAGGAAAGAATCAACGAACTGATGCTAGAACATAGAACATTAGAAGTTATTCAGTCTGAACAACAGAGAGAAGAGAAACTGGAAAAAAAAAAAAAAAGTGAAACCCAGCAAAGCTATATTTAGAGTCGAAGGACAGATAAAGAGCTTCCCAGACAAAAATAAGCTAAAGGAATTTATCAACACCAAGCCACTATTACAGAAAATGTTGGAGGGACGTCTTTAAGAAGAAAAAACCATGTATCAAAATCATGAATAAAAATGATAATAACTACATATCTATCAATGACTACGCCAAATAGAAAAGAATAAGTACTCCAACCAAAGGATAGGTAACTGACTGGATAAGAAAACAAGATCCCTACATATGCTGTCTACAAGAGACTCACTTCAAATTAAAAAACACACAGAGACTAAAAGGAAGGGGATGGAAAAAGATATTGCCTTGATGGACCTAGAGAGTATTGCACTAAATGAAGTAAATCAGATAGAGAAAGACAAATACCACATGATTTCACGTACATGCAGAATATAAAGAATAAAATAATAACAAAAATGGAAACACTCATAGATATAAAGAATATTTTGAGGGCTACTAGAAAGGAAGGGGGTTGGGGAATGGTGAAAAAGGGTGAAGAGATTAAGAAACACAAATTTATAGTTATGAAATAGTCATGGAGATATGGAAAACAGTCAACAATGTTGTAATAAATATGTAAGGGGAAGAGGGGTACTAGATTTCATGGAGTGATCACTTGGTGAATTATATAGATCTCTAATCACAATGCTGTACAACTGAAACTAATATATTATTGAATTTCAACTATAATTGAAAAAACCTCATTGAATTGTACAATGTAAATATAAGCAACTGTCTATTATATTTCAATAAAGCTGGAGAAAAAAAGAAAAAATATGATTGAAAAATCAGGGACCTATGTGACTATGAAATAAAACCTAACACTGGGGTCCTCAGAGTTCTGGAAGGGGAGAAGAAAAAGAGAGGGGCTGAATATGTACTTGAATAAATAATGGCTAAAATCCCCCCAAATTTGGCAAGAAACATAAACCTACAAAGTCAAGTTTAGTGAAACTCAAACAGGATAAAGGCAAAGATATCCATGCCAATCTACATAAACTTCTAAAAGAATGGCAAAAGGACATTCACTAAATAGAAAGGAAACAATAAAGAAGGACATCAGGAAGGAAGAACACAGCCAAGAATATATGAGTGAATACAATGAGCTCTTTTTTTGAGTTTTCTAAATTATGTTTGATGGTTGAAACAAAAATTATAATACTGACTGATGTGGTTCTAAAAGTATGTAAAGAAAATATTTAAGATAATTACATATTGAATAGGGAGGGTTAAGGAGATAAGACAGTAAGGTAAGATTTCTATAGTTCACTAGAACTGATAAAAGTCACCCACCAGAAGGCAGGAAAAAGAACAATGAAAAATAGCATAAACATAAAACAAAAAAATGGCAAACGTAAGCCCTAAAACATCAATAATTACAATAAATGTGCTCTAAATATGCCATTAAAAGATGGATTGGCAAAAGTGAATTAAAAAGCATGACCTAACTATATGCCATAAGAAACTCACTTCAATTATGATACATACAGGCAGGTTGAAAGAAAAAAGATGCACAACGATATATAAACATTAATCAAATGAAAGCAGGAGAGGCTATATTAATATAAAATAAAATGGACTTCGGAGCAAAGAAAATTACTAGAGAGTGACATTATATAATGATAAAAGGGTCAACCCACCAAGAAGACAAAACAATCCTAAATATGTATGTAGCAAACAACAGAACTGCAAAAGATGTGAAACAAAGACTGAGAGATGTGAAAAGAGAGATAGACAAATGTAAAATTATAGTTGGAGACATCCCAACTCTTTCTATGAGGCCAGTATTATCTTGCTACCAAAACCAGACAAAAACATCACAAGAAAAGAAAATTAAAGGTCAATATACCTTATGACTAGAAATGCAAAATATTTAACAAAATATGAGTAAACTAATTCTGGCAACTTACAAAAAGGATTACATACCATGACTATACAGTAAAGGATTAATTTTGTACATAGAAAATACTAAGGAATCCAGAAACCAAGTTCAGCAAGGCTACAGTATATAAAACTAGCAGTTAACAATCTGAAAAAGAAATTAAGAAAACAATTCTGTTTACAATAGCAAAGAGAATAAAATACTTAGGAGTGTATTTAACCAAAGAAGTATAAAACTTGCATGCTGAAAACTATGAAACATTGCTGGACAAAATTAAAATCTAAATAAATGGAAAGGCACCCTGTGTTCAGACTATAAGACTTAATGTTAAGATGGTAATGATTTCCAAATTGGTCTACAGATTCAGTGCAATTCCCATCAAAATCCCAGCTGGTTTCTTAGCAGAGACTGACAAACTCATCTTAAAATTCATATGGAAATGCGAGGAACCACAAATAGCCAAAACAGTCTGGAAAAAGAACAAAGTTGGAGTACTCACACTTTTCAATTTCAAAACTTACTACAAAGCTAAAGTAATAAAACTGTGTGATACTGGCATAAACACAGACATATAGGTCAATGAAAAATGAAAGAGAGAAATAAATCTTTGCGTATCGGTCAAATAGTTTTCAACAGGGTGCCAAGACCATTCAATGGCAAAGAACAGTATATTCAACAAACAGTGGTGGGAACACTGGAAATCCACAGGCTAAAAGAATGCAGAGGAACCCTTAACTACCACCATATACAAAAATTAACTCAAAATAGATCAAAGACCTAAACCTAAGAGCTAAAACTATAAAACTCTTAGGGGAAAAGCTTCATGACCTTGGGTTTGGCAATTTCTTAGATATCACATGAAAAACATTGGCAAGAAAAGAAAAAAGAAACAGAAAAATTGGACTTAATCGAGGTTTAAAACTTTGTGCATCAAAGGACACTAATAATAGTAAAAAGGCAACCCAGAGAATGAGAGCAAATATTTGCAAATCACTTATCTGATAAGGGATTAATATTCAGAATATATAAAGAACTCCTGAAACTCAATACCAAACAACAAACAACCTAATTCAAAACTGAGTAAAGAAACTGAATAGACATTTCTCCAAGGAAGATATATGAATGGCCAACAAGCACATAAAAAGATACTCAACATCACTAATCGTTAAGGAAATGAAAATCAAAAACTATTTCACACTCATTAAGGTGGTTATTATTATTAAAAAAAAAAAGAATAAATATTGGTGAGGATGTGGAAGAACTGGAACCCTTGTACACTGCTGGTGAGATGGTATAATGGTGTGCCTACTGTAGAAAACAATTTGGCATTTAAAAAACGGACTTGCCACATGAACTGGCAATCCAAATCCTATGTACATAACCAAGAGAACTGCAAACATACCCCCACAAAAACTTGAACACAACAATCATGATAGCCCCAAAGTGAAAACAACCTAAATGTTCATCAATTGATAATCTTTTTTGAATAAACTGGAATATTACTCAGCTATGAAAATGAGGTATCAATACATGCTACGATATAAATGGACCTTGAAAAAATTATGCTGTGTGAAAGAAGCCAGTCACAAAAGGCCACATATTGTATGACTCCATATACATTAAAGGCCTAGAATAAGGAAATCCTTTCAGACAGACAATAGATGGTGGTTTCTAGGGACTGGGAGGAGAGGAGAATGGGGCCTCTTTTTGGGATGATAAAAATGTTTTGGAATTAGGTAATGGTGACAATTACACAACTTTGTGAATGTACTAAATACCATTGACACGGTACTCCTTAAAAGGAAGAATTACATAAGGTGTGAACTACATCTCGATAAAAAGAAAATTTAAATAAAAAGTTTTTAAGAGTAACTTCTACCAGAGACAACATTGGCCTCACCTGCTCATAGATCTCAATGGCTTTCTGGTACTGCTCAAGCTGGGCGGCATATGCTGCCACCTTCAGCAGACACTTGTTAGCTGAACTGAAATGAAGAACCAGAGCAAAGTTAAGTAACAAACTGACAGAAAAATAAGATACTTTCATTTGGTACAGTCCAATACACTCATAAAGTATAGTGAAGCTCTAAAGTGTCTTTTATGACACTTAACAAAACTCATTTAATTATAAAAAGGAAAATAATACTTGCCTGTTGGATTCTTCTCCTTTGTAATAATCAGCTGATTGTTCATAATGTGCAATAGCCTGAAAATACACATATTTCATTCAAACTACTTGTTTGGAGAACTGCATTTAAATATTACATTTGTATAGGTATTTTCTTCTAAATAAACCTATCCCAATGTCAAAATCTTTTACAACTTGGCCTATTTTCTTTAGGGAACACAAAAGTACATGCGCCTCTGGAAGCCTGGTGGCAGAATGCTCCCTATACATCAAAACTTAGTTCTTCCCCTCCCCTATGACACCATTTCCCCAGCCTACGCCGCAATAGGGTAGCCATGAGACCTGTTCTTTCCAATGAAATATAAAGACATGCTGTGAATTACTTCCAGGGTTGGTCTATACATTGACTTTGCATCCTTCTCCAGGCTTTCCTTTCCCTTTCTCATGAGCTAGAATGGCAATGGCCAAGTCTAGAATGACACTGGAAACCACAAGTGGAAGATGGCAGAACTTTTGCCAGCTTGGTTCCTAAATAATTACAAAGGGCAGAACGTACCCCAACCCCCATGCCCCCACCACTGCCAAACCCAGGGCAACTACACTCGATTGTTATTTTACAGAAATATGAAGCCTTATTACATTTTAGATTAATGGTTTGCTACATCAGGACAGACTATCCTCACTAATATCATAAGCGTCATCTAAAATGTGGTGCTGAATTAACAATCAAATGGAGAGAAAACAGAGGGTACAGGCTGGAAAGCCATAAGCCCTTGTCCTGCCGTGGCATTAAGATTTAGAGAAATCAAGTACGTGACAACTTAGAAGGCAAAACAGATGGTGTTTTGCTGGAAACTCCATGGAAAGGTCTATGGAAAGAACAAGATGATAGTGTGTACTGTTGTTTTCAGCAAGGTTTTCTAAGAAAAAAGAACTCTGGAAAGAATTAATCAATTTGTATGTAATTATGAAAGGAAACGAAGTCCAGAGATATGGCCTCATAAGATTGTTAAGGCCAATGGTTTCTGTACCCTAATGGCAAGAGGTAAGTCTGAACATTTTAAATTATGGATCTGGCAAACTTTTCTCTAATAGGCTAGATAATAAATACTTCAGGCTTTGTGAGCTATATAATCTGCTATCACTACTAAGTTTTCCTGTGGTAGCACAAAAGCAGCCACGGATGATGCATAAGTGAATGAGTGAATAAGTGGCTGTACACAAATAAACTTTATTTATGGACAATGAAATTTCAACTTCATGCAATTTTTATGTGTCATGAGTGTTTTCCCCTCTAATGATTAAAAAATGTGAAAAATATTCTTAGTTTGCAGGCATTAATAAACAGCTGGTGGATTTGCAGACTCCTGCTTTATATTTCAAGGTTTTTCCAGTAAACCTAAAAGAGGGAGCTAGCATTATGCAAAAATCAGATTACAAGTGCTGCCCATAAGTTCAGTGGGTTCAAGGCAGCCCTAATGAGTTAAGGGAGAGGCCCAGGGACAACAAATAAAATATAACAGCTTAGGAACTGGTGTTAGGAAACCACTTTGGTGTGGTTATGGGTACAAGGTGCTGACTGGAAGCAAACAGACCTGGCCCATAAAGCCTTTGGTCCCCCTTCCTGAAGGTGATAAGGGTGATGACCAAGAAAGCAGAGCCATCTCTGAAGCCATAGACTAAAGGGGACAGAGTCAACATTAGCCTTGTATGGACTGCAGTTCTGTGACAAAAATGGATGGTTCATGGAAAATAAGATACTTCTGTGTTTGAATAATTATGTTTTGGATCTATTTATTTCAGCTACTTAGCCTACCCAACTAATATGCACCCTGCTCCAATAAATTTTCTCAGTCTTATTTATAATAGGAAAAAAAATTAAGTGGTTAAAAATGGGCTACTGTGCTATGATTAAAAGTAATGAACAGAAAGTTCAATATGCAAAATTCTTCATGAAATACTAAAGCCATTAAAGAACAAATACACTATAGTCCTTTTTTTTACAAATATATAGACACACCCAGAAAACATCTGCTGGAATATATTTCTCTGGAGCACATTTCAGAGCTATCACCTACACACATGTGGGATTATGTAATGAATGCACATCTTCTCCCACTAAAATGTACGCCCTGTGAAGGCAGGTCTCATGATGATTTTGCTCACCGTTATGTCCCTGGGCCTAATATAAGGCCTATCATACAGTAGGTACTCAATAAATAGATGCTAAGTGAATGAATGCAAACTGCATTGCAAATGAAGGTCCCCTATTAAACTACTGCCCATATCTTGATTAGTCTGAAATAGCCAGGAAAGAAAAGTTTTTCACTGAATTTATGATTAAAAATAACCTTCTTTAAACTGTCCTCATTCTCTCAAGTTTTTAGCACTAGTTTTCATCACAATAAATAGATAATGTATAAGAAACATAACCAAATCTTTTTGTAAAGAATATCAGATTATATAACCTCTTTCCAGGGAGAAAATGCAGCTAGCTACTTTCTTCCTAGTTTTCACAGCACCAGAATTCAATGAATAAGGTTGGGTTGAACCACATGTAACTGCTATTTTGGAAGCTAAAAAAAAAAAAATGGCTGAATATTGACAACTTGGTTTAACCTAATACTTATTAAATAATGGTACTGGTTGATCAAAATATTATAACTATAATCTGCAGCTAGATTTACCACAGTAAAAGAAAAAATTTAAATTTAGTTTGAATAATGCTAATTAAACCAATAATCGAAAATCACGGTTTTCCCAAGTTTTGACAGAGACTAAAGTTGAAAGGAAAGCTTATCTACTGGTTTAGAGTTTCAGAGAAAAGAGGTTGGCCACAGGTTATCTTTGATGTTCACACCTATGTTGGAATTTTAACGTGTAGTGAAATTTATCAGGGAAGACCCTTACATATAGAAATCAGCCTGCTGTTATCTTATAGTTCCCAGGACAATAATAAATATGAGAAGTAGAACACAGCAACCAATTACAAAAGCACACTTAATAATAAATCCAGACAGGAAAACCAGCTGATTATCCTATTATTTAAGAGGTGGGTCACAATATTCCTTCTTGGGAAGCCTGGGTAAGTGGCACAATGCCAGAGAATAGATGGATCCTGAAAAGAGACAAGGCTCTCTAGAACTGCATCCATCATTAAAGCAAATACAATTTCCAGGGTTCAAACTTAAAGAGTCCACTTTGTAGGTAAAATATCCTTAAATAGCCTTAAGGTGGGATCAATTCTTTTAGAACATATACCTGGAGACAGGACCTAACAGGAAACTGCCATAGACACCTATCCTACATTGTAACGAATAGTATTAAACTATGTTCTCCAGGGACTGAAAACAGAAATGAGTCATAGTTCCTCCGGGTCGTTTAAAAAGGACTCTATTATTTGGCTCAGTGTTTTTTTCCCCATGAAATCAAAGAAGTAAGTAAGTTTATTAAGCTTTACATTTTATTTTTCGCTAGCTAAAATCTGTAAATGAATCAGAGAACATACAGTGGCTAGCATTAAAAAGAAATTCACTTGTAATAAATCAGATATAAAGTACTTTGGTGTAACTCATTTTTTCAAATTTAAACTTCATACACTACCAATCAAAATCTCCTGAGTACAACCAGGAATGTGAAGGCAGTGATGTTTCTAATAGAAAATGATTTTTCTAACATAAGAAGCCAAACATCCGTGAACATGACAAGCTAACCCTGTGTGTGTTGAGTAATATTCTTAAACTGCTTTTGAAAGAACACATCACACAAATGAAAAAAGATGCTACCTACTGGCCAACTCTCAGAATGGCAGGAACACCAGCAGTAGAGAGTATTGGGGGTGATTTTAGAAGCTGCCATGACAAATTGATTTTTTTTTTTTTTTTGAGGCTTGTGTTTTACTCGTGGCCTGTCAGCCTCCCTCCTGCCTCATGAGGAGGTAGGAGGAGCGGGGTAGATGGGGAGGGCAGAGGGGCTAGGATGGGGCTGACGGCAGCTGTCCTTTGTAGATGTATTCTAGGGCAGTGGCAATGGTGGCATGTCCAGCTCGATGCTCCGAGCCCATTTTTCCACATCCCTATTTCCTTAGTGCTTGGTTGAAGTTCTCCACTATTCCGATCCATTGGCCTATCTGCTTGGAAAACTGGGCAGCCTGAAACTGCAAGGTCTTCACTTCATGGTCCAGCTTTCTCTGGTTCATGTAGGCCTGGGCCACACCCACATTGAGGTGATTCACCAAAGCTTTGGTCAGGCAGGTCGCTGCAGTGATAGCCTCTTGCCTTCTTTTTTCCTGTAGCTCCTTGCGTTCATTCTGCTGGGCCTGGTATTCCTTTAGCAGGTGGGACAGCATGGTCGCTAAGGGCTGGGGCCTGGGTGCTGGGGCCTGGGCAAGCCCGGCCCCCTCTGATTCCCATCATCGATTTTTTAAAAAAGGAAAACGAGAGTATGCCATAGATCATTTTATCCACCCTCTATTTTAAGGAGACTCATGTGATAAAGTGATCGCCTGAGGCCATGCCCTGGCAGCAGAGATGGCACAGCAGAGGATACTCTTCTGACCACTATGGATAAGGGGCTGATGTAGTAGCATTGGCTGGAAAGATGCTCTGCACACAAATGCTCATCCTCCCAAGACTGAGTCCACCTCAATAATGACAGTGAGAAGTGCTGAGACTCAAGAGCTCTGAGGACAATGCTCATAGAAATTGCTCACAGGTTGGATGTGGAGAAAGAAAAAAGGCAAGGATGCCTGTAGTTCGTAGGGGAACATCAGGGTGGGAGGGAGGGCAAGATCAGAAGTCAGTTTCAAACATGCTGGATTTGAGACGATACTGGGTATAACTAGAGAGGTTGGCAGACATGGAGATACAGGAATCTGTAGCTTAGAAAGAGGTCTGGGCTGCAGACAGATTTGCAAGTCACTGGGATACAGATGCTGAGCGAGTGCAAAAAGAGGTACCAAGAGAGTGAGTACAGGCTGAGAGAAGACAAGGACCCAACTCCAGTGCACCCTATACTAGAGGGTGAGAAGAGAAGGAACCAATTAAGGAGTGAGGAAGAGATTACGCAGTAGGTGGCCAGAGAACCAGGTGGACACTGTGTTCTAGAAGCCAAGGGAAGAAGTAAAACAAAGGAGAGGAAGAGTGACAACTGTTCAATGCTGCAACAAGCACAGAAACTGCTCACAGCCATTCAGATAAGATGCAACTGTAATCTCTCAAAGCATGCTTAGTGGTCATTAGTCTGACAATAATTAGCAATGATCTCCTCCTTCACTAATGTTTCTCTTTCTGATTCACACCTGTTATCTTCCACAGTACTCAGGGCAGTTTTATATTACATTTGTCTCCTGTCCAAATTGAGCCTCCGAAGTCTGGCAAATGTGTTTTCCTCTCACCAAGATACACTCCAGCCTTACTGGTGATTCCCTGACTGAGAAGACAGCAGGAGACAGGAGAAATCTCAGTGCTGGAGCCAGCTTTGCATCAGCTCCACTGAGTAATCCTAGGTAGTGGTAACTGTTTTGAGTCCTAGTTGCCATACCCATAAAGGGGCCTCAGTATTATAAAGCTGAAACGTGCTAAACTTCATGGCATGCCACCAAAGACAAAACCTGGAAAACAGTAAATGCTCAATAAGTGTTTCTTCTTTCCTCTTTTCTTTTGCTACTAGAGGCATTCCTCTTTTATTGCATTTCATTGATACTGCATTTCATCAACATTGAAGCAACACCCTTCACCAGCAAAGATAATGACTCACTGAAGGCTCAGATGATGGTTAGCATTTTTTAGTAATAAAATGTTTAATTAAGGTATGTACATTTATTTTATAGACATTACATTTAATAGACTACAGTAAGTCCTTACTTAACGTTGTCAATAGGTTCTGCCACCTTAAGTGAATGACACAATAAAACCAATTTTACCATAGCCCAACTAATATACACAAGAGTTGTTCTGACATTACCTCATCAACACGTTACCTCATCAATGTTATAATGAAATGACTTTGAATGAATGATGTTATTCTAGGATGTGCTGTATAAATAAACATAGCTTTTATATGCTCTGGGAAACTAAAAAATTTGTGACTCACTTTTTTGCAATATTCATCTTATTGTGGTGGTCTAGAACTAAAACTGCAATATATCTGAGGTATGTCTTATAAACCAGTTTAGAAAGCCAGACTTGAGTGAATCAGATGTGTGGCATGTTGGTGTTCACCTACCTTCTTCCCCAGGGTCAAGGCCTGAAGATAAAGGTGTGCAAATGCCCACAGTACTTAAGCTTCCATCACAGGGCCGCAGAGGCCTCAGCAAAAGAGATGAAGATTCTCCTGACATGAATCACACAGAGTGGAAACAGCGAGTAAATCTTAACTAGCTCTTGTCTCAGACACTCAACTATAGGAAAACAGCCCATCTTACTCCTTAGCTGTCAGGCCCCTAAAACCTCCATGTGAAGCTATGTATAATCACTATACTACACTCAACTCAACTCCGCTGGAAGAAGAAAGGGCTCCTTCTCTTCAACTACCTGCTTCACACTAAGTTTATGAAAAACTGAATCCACTGCTTACCTTCTCAATGTCTACAAGTTCAGTTTCATAAATCTCAGCAATGGTAATGTGGTGCTTGGCTGCGATTGTAAACCTTCCCTGAGGGAAAACAAAAAATAGAGTCACATTCCTGTTTTACCTATTTTAACATCAATGAGTTTGGAAACAGGATTAAAAAAAAAAAAAAGAATACAACTCTAAGCCATGTTAAGGAGTCCAGACCACAGCCGCTCAAGCAAGGCAATGTCTTACCATGTCTGTGTAAATGTCGATGGCTGCATTTAAGCAGTTGATAGCCTCTGAAGCGCAGGCATTTAAGAAAAACAATGAAAAATCCATTCAGTCAAAGAGAGTTCAGGTGAGCTGATCTTCCTGGCTGCTACCAAAATGTTAAGGAGGTCCCATTTGGGGCAAAGGGTGGGTGGGTTAGTTAATGAGGATCAAACACAAATCACACCCAAGTCCAGATCCCTCAGTGTGCTCTGTCCATAGCAGTAGTAGTGCAACTTAAGGAATTGGAGCTGGAGTGGTATTGGCTCAGTTACTCTTAACTTGACAGTGAGGACTTCATCCAGGAAAAAGACTGAATTGTAAAGACAACAAACGGGGATTGACATCAACACTGATCAACTACATTTGCTAAAACACAAATGTAAATGTATTCTTCAGTGATATTATGTGTGTGTGTGTGTATATATCTATATCTATATCTATAGATCTACAGATATATACCCATATATAGATCTATATCTATATCTATACATCTAGATATATAGATATAGATATTCATTTTGGAAGACAGTACTTCACAAGAAAGATGACTTCAAGAGACTCATGTAGCCAAAATTAAAAGCACTTGAAATTCCTGTTCAGACAACTCCTAAGCAAAGTCAACATTCTGTAAAATGTTAAAGATGCTAACTTTAGGTATACTAACATATATACAAAAGGAAGAAAAAAATCTAATAAGTGACAGTGCTAATAAAATATATTAATTTTCTAAAACAGTGAGCCAATACATTTCTTATCACAAAATGGTGGTGTTTATAATTCCAGCATATGTGTAACAGCTCCATGTTTATTGCTTTTGGTTTAAAAGAGGCAGCAGAGTAAAAAGGCCTGACTAAAGAATTATAAAGTAGATAACAAAAATTATTTAAAAGCGATTTCTTCCTAAGCTACATAAGAAATGTGGATTCACTGTTACAGTTTTAAAAGTGCTGCCTATAATCTGACTCAAACCCACTCTTAGTATTTGATACGCTTTTCATTCCAGTATTTCTAGATGCATTCCTATGCGCAGATATTTTTTTAAAATGAATTTGAGATCTCAATTCTCATGTGTTTCTTTACTTACCAAGTGAACATTTACCAGGTCACTGAAGAGTCTCTAAAACCAGGAAAAAATGCAATGTCTCTATCATAGTCTAAAATATCGATGTATTTACAACTTTACTATTCTCATCTTACTGCTCATTTAGGCCATGTTAAGTCTTTTACTTTTGGAAATAAACTGTGATTAATCTCTATACAAAAGCCTTTGAAATATCTTATCTCTGTATGATATAGTCATAAGATCTGGGATTTCTATGTTAAAATGAACTGCTGAAAGAAAAAAAGACTCCATTGCTACCAGTGCATATATGAGAAGGAAGAAATTAATGCTTTTAATCACTAAGTGTGCACTTTTCTAACTAAAAAAGAAATAATATCTGCAAAATACCCAAGTTCATTCTTTCCTCATAACAAACTTTGAGAAACACTTTAAAAAATCAGATGAATACTGTGTGAATAAGTTGTTTTTAATTAGCAGATATTACAATCTCCCATAAATTAGGTCTTAAAATATTTAGGAATGAGGGAACAGCAGCGTTGCCTTTAATAAGCAACATACATATTCATAAAACTAGGACATAAGAAGTCTTAGATAAAATTAAAGCTAATTTCCAAAAATTCTCCAAAATACAATAATTGCAATATAAATGGAGTTTAAGAAAATTGTGTTGACCAACTAAACAGTAAGGATAAATTTAATATATCTTCTCCTCATTAAAGCTCCAAATGATTAAAGAAAAATTCCTAAAGTTATCGAAATTTCTATTATCTCAAATTATGAAAAATTATTTTTACCAGGACTCAAAAAGTCCAGCAGTGAAACTTGTGAAAAAGGTATGCCTAAACAGAGGTGCGTCTTACCTTGAGGGTCTGCCTTTTTGTAAGCATTCCCAGCATCCACAAAGCTGGTAGCAGAATCGTGTTTGCTCTGAAGCTGCATATGGAGCTTGGCTGCCTGACAAAATGCATTTCCTGCAGCTGAGGAAGATAAATTACTACAATTAAACACAGAGGAACAAGTATCCCCAAAGAACGGCCCATGCCCTAAGTGCTAGACCTGCTCCTAGAAATCCCCATCCTAATGAAAAGCATTCCAGTCGGAAGCACATGTAAATGTGATCAAGTGCATCTTAGGTGTACATAAAAATATCCAGAATCAAGTCAAACAGTGATAAAAGCTTCTCTCAATCACAGGAGACCTCCCAAGTGGCCACTGAGCAATAAGCCTCATTCAATAGCAACAGTCTAGTCCCAGGCTGTTCAGTTCTGTTCCCTAGAGTATACTAAACATTAGCTGGCAGATTCAAGCTACTAATGTTTCAAGAAAAGTAAAACACTGAGGCCCATCTGTTTTACAGTGTTCATTGGACTTAGCTGTGACTGTTGAAGAAATTGCTAATGAATGCTTTGTGGACAAAATAAGTTTCTCAAAGAGTGAAAATTAGGCCTATAATTTCGAAATTCAAAGTTTTTTCTTAAGTTTATGACAAAATCTGACTGAAATTTACATGAGGTTTAATTTGTCTGTATCCCACTTAGCCGAACTTATACACTTCCCTGCAGAATCACAGATGGGTTTGGTTACGGGGTGCTGCCCAAGTCTCCATTGGGACACAGCACAACATGAAAGATTTTTGCAGAAAATTTTTTCAGAAAAGGTTTTGGAGTAGGGACCATGAATTACAGAGTAGCAAAAAAGAATGAGGGAAGGAATCCCTAGCAGAGGAGTTCCTAGCATGACAAAGGAACAAATGCTTGAAGGGCTGGAACTAGGTCAATGACAAGCCCATGCTGCCCAGGAGGAGGAATGAAAGTGCAGGTGCAGGAGACATCAACACTGAAGATGCTGTCAGGCTAGTTCAGGAAGGCTTTAATGTTAACATGAGGAACCTGGACGAGGAGGAATCTACATCATGGGTTACTCAGTTCAGAGAGAGTACCGTGGCCATGCCTCAAAAACTGAGCACCATAGACTGGAGAGCACAAAAGCCTCTGCAAACACAGTTCAGGAAGATCTGGAATAGGGAAGTCAATACTAACAGGAAAGGAGGGGAAGAATTTGTTCTACTAGTAAAAGCACAATTAAGAATATCACAAAACCTTTGGTATTAAAAAAATTTTTCAGAATTGTTCTGTGTAAGGAATGGGTCGAAGTTCTCAACCAATTTTAGGAAAAGAAAAGCAGGCATTTCTATTTATCCTACTTGTTTTCATTGTGTTTTACTACAACTTTCATTTTTTATGGCAATGAATTTACTTGAGCACATTAGGAAGAAGCAAAAATGACTCTTCTTAATTGCAAGTAATTTTAACTCTTTTTAATTACTTTGTGCCTACTGTATGAGGCAGTTTATAGAAACTAGAACAAATCCAGTCTCTGTTTAAATTTTATGTAATGATTTCCACTTCATTTACTAAATCAAGGTCTTTTATTCTCAGTCCACAGTAGCCACTATTTATTCAGTGCTTACATCTGTCTCAGGGCCAATAGTCTTATTCTCTAAGGGGACAACAGACAGTCATTTCCTCCTTCAAAATAATTTTAAAGTTATCTGCCTGAAAAGCAAACAAAAACTGTATACATACCACTCCAATTTTTAGCCATCTTGAACATATTTGCAGCTCTAGTATACATTTCACAAGCCTCTTCTATTCTTGTATTTCCTCTAGAAAAATTAAAAAAATAAGATTAAATTTAACTATAACAACCATCCACGTCCCTAAGCCTCCTTCCCTCAAATAATAAATATTTAACGAGCACATACACTATGTGCTAGATAAGCAGTACAGAATCTAAACAGCTGCTCAAAGAGGATACTCTTATTCTCGTTTTCCAGATGAGGAAACTAAGGCATACAAAAGTAACTAGCCCAAGGTCACACAGCAAGGATGCCACAGAACTGAAACTCAAATACAGATGTGGTTGACCTCAGAAGCTTCACTCTTAACCAGAGTCCTTCCCATGCATGAAAACTAAGTTTATATCGGTCTGAGAAATCAGAAGTACATTTTTCAAAGATTAAAACTGGAAGGATAAAGACATCTTTACCCTGTTAATATCCAAGAGTTTAGCACTATGTTTATTTAGACTTAAAAATAAGAACAAAACCTGAAGAAAGAGCATATAAAAAAGCACTACGCCGTTCCATGGCTATATTATCTGTCAGCTCTGGCAAGGAACAAGCCCTTCCCTAGTGTGGAAGGGGCAGAGAAAAAACAGTTGATTTTTACCGGCCCGGTGGCAAAACTGAGGTTGAGCTGCAACCCAAACCCTCATATCCTCCGAGACTGAACACTGCAGATCCCCAGGGGATTCTGAGCAAACGCTACCCAAACTGTTACTAACACTGACAGGGACTGAAACTGAGAGTAATGAGCATGATAAAACATCTACAAGGGGAAAAAAAGGCATTATTAAGGCTTTATATAAAGTAGGGATCCAAGAGGCTTAGACACCATCTACTAGAAACCAAAAGAAGAGCGACTTCTTTGCAATAGGTTAAAGACATTTATATAATAAATCTTCTTTCTTGGAAAAAAGCAGAATACATTTCCATTAATGCTCAGGCACAGAAATAGTCCATTAAACACCACGAACAACCAAGGTGACAAGGCAGCTCAGAAAGAAAGAGAAAAATCTCCAGGAAATAAGCTTCCACACATAGAAATACGCAATTTAAATGACAGAGAATTCAGGATGGTACTTCTGAAAAACTCAGAGAGTTCTGAAATGAGTCATATCAACAATTTCAGAAATTGAAAAAACAACTAGATGAGCAGAGCAAGGAGACTGAAACCCTCAAAAGGGACCAATGAGAACTTCTGGAGAAGAAGAACACACAGCAAGAGTTGAAAAATGAAATAGCAAGCTTGGGAAATTGAGTCGACCAAATAGAGGAAAGGATCGGTGATATCAAGACAGAAATCTAGAAATACACCAGAATGAAAAAGAGAAAAACTGAAAACTGAAAAATAATGAAAGAGAAATTCAAGAACTAGCTGATACCATCAGGAGAGAAAGCTTAAGAAAAATGGGCATTATTGAAGGCAAGGAAAAGGAGCAGGGACTAGAAAGCATTTTCAGACAAATAGCTGATGAGAATTTCCCAAATCTAAGGAATGAGCTGGAGCTTGGAATTCAAGAAGCCAACAGAACACCCAATTACCTCAACCCCAAAAGGCCTTCACCAAGACACACTGCATTCAAATGATCAAAAATCAACAAGAAAGACAAAAGACATACAAAAATTGAGGAAATTCTCCTCTACAAGGCTTGCACTACAGGAAATACTGAAAGAGGTCAGCTTACCTAAAACAAAATGACAGAAAAAACAAAAACAAAAACCATAATTAGGAATAAACTGACTACCAAGCAAATAAAAGCAAAGGAGTGCAACTCCTACTAAGAACATGGCCTTATAAGCTTAAATAATAAGAAGAGAATTGCCATTACAAGATAGTAATGAATGTTCAGCATATATAGGGACAAATTGAGATAGAAATGACTGAAAAGAGGATTCAAAGATTCAAATTTGCAAAGAGGAATGGAGATAAGGCACGTGCAGAAGAAAATGGACAGCTGTATATATATAATTATCCTTTACATATCCATAATGGTAACCACACACCAAAGATTCAGAACCGAAGCATATAACATAAAACAAGAAAAACCAGAGGGAAAATCCATAAAAGCCAACCAGAATCAAGAAAATAGAAACAGAAGGACAAGAAAGCAATGGAAACACCGAGCTAACAGAAAGCAAAAGATAAAATGGTTATAAGAAGACCTCATATTTCAATAATCAACCTAAAGTTAAATGGAATGAAGTCACCAATAAAAAGGCACAGAGTCGCAGAATGGATCCAAAAACAAAACTCAACCATATGCTGCCTCCAGGAGACACATCTCAGCTCTAAAGACAAATATAGACTCAAAGTGAAAGGGTAGAAAATGATATTTCAAGAAAATGGCATTTGGAGAAAAGCGGGAATAGTGGTACTAATATAAGACAAAATAGACATCAAATAAAAAAAGTAAAGAAAGATACTGAGGGACATTTCATAATGATAAAGGGAATCATGCACCAAGAAGACATAACACTTATTAATATCTATGCTCCCAATCAGGGAGCCCTGAAATATGTAAAGCAATTACTAACAAAACTAAAGGGAGAAACAGATCAAAACACTATCATAGTAGGGGACCTAAACACCCCACTGTTGGATTTGGACAGTTCATCCAAACAGAAAATCAATAAGGAAATAACATCTTTAAATGACACATTAAACCAACTGGACATAATTGACATTTACAGAGCCTTCCATTCCCAAACAGTTGCTTTAACATTCTTCTCTAGTGCGCATGGAACATTCTTAAAGATTGACCACATAGAAATGAATGGGATCCAAAACTTACCTAATTGAGTGCTTCATATGGAAAAAAATTAACTAATTTTTATGAGTCAGCAAATTAAAGGGTACAGATAATAGAAGAAAATTCCCATTACGTTATACAGAAAACAATCCTCCGAAATGTGGAGGTTTCTATTGAGAAATCAGTTGACAGTCTTATGAGAGCTTCCTTGTAGGTAACTAACTGCTTTTCTCTTGCTGTTTTTCAGAATCTCTC